GCAAGTATAAACACCATGGGACCACGCAGCCGTCATACCGCTCAGGAAGGAGACGCGTTCTGTCTCCTAGAGATGAACGTACTTTGGTGCGAAAAGTGCAAATCAATCCCAGAACAACAGCAAAGGACCTTGTGAACATGCTGGAGGAAACATGTACAAAAGTATCTATATCCACAGTAAAACGAGTGCTGTATCGACATAACCTGAAAGGCCGCTCAGCAAGGAAGAAGCCACTTCTCCAAAACCGCCATAATAAAGCCAGATTACGGTTTGCAACTGCACATGGGGACAAAGATTGTACTTTTTGGAGAAATGTCCTCTGGTCTGATGAAACAAAAATAGAACTGTTTGGCCATAAAGACCATAATTATGTGAACCAGCGACCTTTCGGTTACTGGCACAATGCTCTTAACCACTAAGCTACCTGCCGCTGGTACTACACTGTACTTTATTCATTTGGATACCAATAAGAAAAAGATTGTGATATCTTTGTACAGTGGGGAAAAAAAGTATTTAGTCAGCCACCAATTGTGCAAGTTCTCCCACTTAAAAAGCTGAGAGAGGCCTGTAATTTTCATCATAGGTACACGTCAACTATGACAGACAAATTGAGGAGAAAAGAATCCAGAAAATCACATTGTAGGATTTTTAATGAATTTATTTGCAAATTATGGTGGAAAATAAGTATTTGGTCACCTACAAACAAGCAAGATTTCTGGCTCTCACAGACCTGTAACTTCTTCTTTAAGAGGCTCCTCTGTCCTCCACTCGTTACCTGTATTAATGGCACCTGTTTGAACTTGTTATCAGTATAAAAGACACCTGTCCACAACCTCAAACAGTCACACTCCAAACTCCACTATGGCCAAGACCAAAGAGCTGTCAAAGGACACCAGAAACAAAATTGTAGACCTGCACTAGGCTGGGAAGACTGAATCTGCAATAGGTAAGCAGCTTGGTTTGAAGAAATCAACTGTGGGAGCAATTATTAGGAAATGGAAGACATAAAAGACCACTGATAATCTCCCTCGATCTGGGGCTCCACGCAAGATCTCACCCCGTGGGGTCAAAATGATCACACGAACGGTGAGCAAAAATCCCAGAACTACACAGGGGGACCTAGTGAATGACCTGCAGAGAGCTGGGACCAAAGTAACAAAGCCTACCATCAGTAACACAATACGCCGCCAGGGACTCAAATCCTGCAGTGCGAGACGTGTCCCCCTGCTTAAGCCAGTACATGTCCAGGCCCGTCTGAAGTTTGCTAGAGTGCATTTGGATGATCCAGAAGAGGATTGGGAGAATGTCATATGGTCAGATGAAACTTTTTGGTAAAAACTCAACTCGTCGTGTTTGGAGGACAAAGAATGCTGAGTTGCATCCAAAGAACACCATACCTACTGTGAAGCATGGGGGTGTAAACATCATGCTTTGGGGCTGTTTTTCTGCAAAGGGACCAGGACGACTGATCCGTGTAAAGGAAAGAATGAATGGGGCCATGTATCGTGAGATTTTGAGTGAAAACCTCCTTCCATCAGCAAGGGCATTGAAGATGAAACGTGGCTGGGTCTTTCAGCATGACAATGATCCCAAACACACCGCCCGGGCAACGAAGGAGTGGCTTCGTAAGAAGCATTTCAAGGTCCTGGAGTGGCCTAGCCAGTCTCCAGATCTCAACCCCATAGAAAATCTTTGAAGTCCGTGTTGCCCAGCGACAGCCCCAAAACATCACTGCTCTAGAGATCTGCATGGAGGAATGGGCCAAAATACCAGCAACAGTGTGTGAAAACCTTATGAAGACTTACAGAAAACATTTGACCCGTGTCATTGCCAACAAAGGGTATATAACAAAGTATTGAGAAACTTTTGTTATTGACCAAATACTTATTTTCCACCATAATTTGCAAATGAATTCATTAAAAATCCTACAATGTGATTTTCTGGATATTTTTCTCATTTTGTCTGTCATAGTTGACATGTAACTATGATGAAAATTACAGGCCTCATCTTTTTAAGTGGGAGAACTTGCACAATTGGTGGCTGACTAAATACTTTTTTCCCCCACTGTACGTTATGTCTAGTCTATAGACCAGGCTGTTTTCAGGAGCATAGATGTTCAAGAAGAGTACAGTCTAGTAAATACATCTAAAACCATTCCAAATGTACAATAAATTATGCCTATATGCTAGGTCAAAAATTCACAAATATGGTTTCTCACAGAAGTTTGTTGCCCACACAAACTTCCCTTATTGTTTGGTTTGTTGGCACCGTTTTCAACACTTCCTGTGAGCAACAAAGACTGACAACATGGAAAGCTCAGCTCCTTCCCTGCTCCAAGGTTTGCTAACTGCATCCAGTGTTGCGTGGCGACTCCTCTAAGCTGTAGTTGCTCAGCCGTTGTTGGGGGCACTTCAGGGAATCTTCGTATGTAGGTTTATAAACTGCTCACGCACCAATATTTACAAGACGGTCACTCAAGACTGGAATTGATTCGCTTGTTCTAGCATTGATGTCACCAGAGCCGGGCTTTCGGCCGGAATGATTTTGTCTCCGGCCCGAGTCTTTTGCCCTGCTGGGATGGTGTAAAACTAGGCTACACTGCAATGAATACTCCAAACATCAGCCCTGGCCTGCCCTGCCTTTTTAGTGCTGCCCAAAACCAGCATTTCTGTGTATGTGGCACTTTAGGAGGCGGAGTCATAGACAGGTTTGCACCTACAGTTTAATTTTGTTTAATTTCTAATCTTTATGGATGGACTAACATCCTTGTACTGTGTAATAATTTGCAAACATTGTGAATATTTAGTTGGAGAAAGGATTGTATGCTGGTGTGTAAAATTGTGATGTCTTGTTACTACAGGGGTGTTGGAGGGGATGTATTTGTTTTTGTGCAATTAATTAGGTAGAAATATTGTCCTGTAGCTAATTGACCTTGGAATCTGTGATTTATTAAAAATTATGATAAAATCCAGATTTTGGTGCCTGCGTTTGTACATATCTGCAAAAGTCCTGTGTCCCCCCTCACTCTGCAGTTAATAATAATAATACAAACCTACTGCTAATGTGAGTTTACACAGTTCCAACATAACCCAAAAACTGGTAGCCTAAAATCCCAATCCTGCTATATTGCAGGTAACTAGAACATTTCATGCAACAGTGGTTTAGGCTGCCACCATTTGGATTATTTTGGAACTGCACAGTGCAAGCAGCATGACTAGCTCACATTAGTTAGCAGTAATGTGACCAACATCAACACAAGGCTTTTTTATTTATTTATTGCCAATCAAATATTGGACATGGTTTATGAAAACATTGCAACAAAATGATACAAATACTTTCCCCAACCATTTTTCTTCATGAAAAATTACGATATAGTTATGCACTTGTAATTTGTACTTGCTAATAGATTTTTATAAATATTATTGACACCATATTCCATGGGTTTACTGACCAAAATCCATTGAATTAATATAAAGAAGTGTTAATTATTTGGCTTCAGAGAGCAAAGCGCATGGAAGAAAGCAGTGAGATATGCAACATAGTGTTGTTTCTGCAAAATCTTCACTGCAAGAGTGCGGGGCGCTTCATTTCAGTCACGCAGGGATCAATGTGATTGGTCAAAAGACCAAAGTGGAGAAAAAAGATCAGAATTGGGCTGCCTGTGTAAACACAGCCTAAGTTTACTTGTCACAAACCATTGCACTTGACTAGGCAGTGATTGCTTCAGTAAATTAAACCAATCGCCTCCTAAACAATTTGTGCTTCTAATATGTAAGCTTATCAAATCAAACGACTATCATTTGCTAATTATTGAATTAGCTTGTGATAGCTGTATATATGATGCTCCTGTTAAGCCATAATCAGAAATTCTTCAACCAACCTTTAACAGTGTCTTATAAACATGTTTCCAGTTGCAGGTGGTTTGGAAAAATATTCTATACACTTCTTGGACTGTGCATGGAGGTTCCTTGACATCTTAGCTGTCGGAGATCTTGCATTTCCCAACATCTTTACAGGAACTAACGTAACAGTTATTTATAACGAGTAGAAGAGGATAACAGCGCGTCACAGTGTAACCCAATCAAAGATTTACACACACGACACCATTTATCACTCGGTACAGAAAGTGGATTTAATATGATTCTGAACATTTCCTTTTCGACCTGCAACTAGAAACAGGAGTTTGTGAAACACCGGTTCCTTCCAAATTGAGAATGAAGAAAGTATCGTCAAGTAAAATGTTGGTCGAAATATTAGGACCATAAGCACGACCTCAGACACTAGCTTTAGATTTGCTGCTGAGGTTCCAGTTCACATGGCTACTAATATGTCATTTCTGCCTTTGACATACCACCAAGGGTTTAAATAAATCTTAGATTAGGTCTAATCTAGACTTTCTAAATCTAGGTTTATAATTGCACCACTTACATTTTTTAACTGGATTAGTTAATCTGAGGTTAAATCACTAAACTAAGATTAGTGACACATGTCATAATGGATTCACCATAGCAATATGTTCTAATTCTATGGAAACAAACTTGCACTGGTCATTGCTAGCTAGCAAAGTGAGTTTTCACTTCAGGCTAAGGAAGAAATTAATAGCACTTTTTTGTCAAATAAATTAGCTGGCTAGTTGAGTTTAACAAACACGATAAGCCACAGGTGCTAAAATTGTTAATCACACTGAAAATAAAGCACATACACTAATATTTGCAGAATTTAAACCTCCTCCAGTGGTGGTTTAGATTTAATCCCAAAACTAAATTTACATTTGTAATTTTTTTTGGGGTTTAAAGTCTCAATTAAATCTTTCTAAACTAAGTTTAAGTAGGATTAATTTAAAATAGGTTTAAAGTTTGGTGCAACAAGATGAATAGATAAACCTTGATTAAACCCAGTTTAAGAGTTAATCCATGTTGGTGCAACCCACCCTCAGTCTTGATATGTAAATGCTGATACTGTATTGCACATGTCATGCCTACCACTAGGGGATGTTGTGAATAGAGTTATGATGATACTGACTGAACAGATATATAATTAAATAAAAAAACAAAAACACCCCATCTTAGATTAACTTTTATTTTTCATCCATCAGAAAATGCAAAGTTCATTGCCGTCGTCAGGCTGTCTGAGAGTTTGGTAGCAATTTTGTCTGAAAATAAAATAGTGAGAAAGGAGAAATTGGATAATTCACAGATAAACCTATCAATTACAGTAGTAATGGTAGAATAAAAACACCTAAACCATATCTAAGTTAAAAACCTCAAGATAACAAAATATGGTTGTCAAGTGATCTACAAACCAAGGATTTATACAACACAATGTTAGTGTTAAAACATAAGACATACCAGCTCTTTTCTGTTGCTTCTTCCTCTTCTTCCCAGCAGCCATGAGTGCTTGGCCCTGCTGAAGAGGGTCTACATTCAAGATATCCTTTAAATCGAGGGTCCTGGGGGCAGCAGCATCAACTGAACCACCACTCTTTGCCCTTGGCGCTTTCATCTCCACAGTCATAGGTCCAAACTAGTGTTAAAGGATAAAAAAGACAAGATATACACTGAGTGTACAAAACACTAAGAACACCTTCCTAATATTGAGTTACAATATTAGGAAGGTGCACTCAGAACAGCCTCAATTAATCGGCATGGACTATACAGAGAAAGGGTAACTGCATTCCAATATGGCGACCGGAGCATGGGCGAGTGGGTGTGTCGAAAGGAAAGTAGTGGGCGTGTGGAAAGGAGTTGGTGTGTCGAAAGCGCTCTGCTATAGGTTAGACGGTTTTGATTGAGCAGTGTTGTTTTTCTTTCATTTTTTTACCAGGCAACTACCATACATTGAGCTACCATACCGCGAGAGTTTGGACTTCTGTATTTAAGCCAGAGGATGGATGAGTCAGTAGTATTTCACTGTCAGTTTTACGCAAATAATAGTACATTTTCAGTTTAAAAAAAGACAATTGTTTGTTTTTGATTAAAAGTATTGATGATGGGTGTACTGTTGCTTCATGCGTTGTATGCATTACTGTGACTGTCACCCTGATATTGTCTACTAGCTAGGTAGCTACTTACCACACCGTTGCCGGACAGTAGTGTTTGTCAAGCAGGAGCGAAGGGCACTGTGTCCCCGTGTTGCTGCCTTTCATGCCTTGGCCATTGAGTAGTAGACTGTATGTATATATGTATCAAGGTGACATCTAGATGGTTATCAATATTAGTTATTTCTTGTGTAGTAGGCTGCTATCCTACTTGAAATAAAAGCATGTTAGAGACAAAATTACTGCGATACCCAGTAGGAAGCACTTCAAGTCAGCACGTCGATACACCAGTGCACTGGTCACCGGCTTATCTCGTCGTGCAGCCCAATCAGCCACGCCAAACGGTCTTGAGTGCCAACAAATCTGCCCAATTAGCAGATTTGTTTTCCATACACCCACTCCTTTTGACACAACTACTCGCTGGTTGCCATAATGGGCTGCAGCTACCCATACTTGACTCTACAAGGTGTCGAAAGTGTTCCACAGGGATGCTGGCCCATGTTGACTCCAATGCTTCCCACAGTTGGCTGGATGTCCTTTAGGTGGTGGACCATTGATACACATGGGAAACGGTTGTGTGTGAAAAACCCAGCAGCGTTACAGTTCTTGACAAACCGGTGCATCTGGCACCTACTACCATCCCTGTTCAAAGGCACTTCAATCTTTTGCCTGAATGGCACACACAAAATCCATGTCTCAAGGCCTAAAAATCCTTCTTTAACCCATCTCCTCCCCTTCATCTACACTGATTGAAGTGGATTTAACGAGTGACATCAATAAGGCATAGCTTTCACCTGGTCAGTCGGTCATGGAAAGAGCAAGTGTTCTTAATGTTTTGTACACTCAGTGTTAAAGGACTTTTAAGTGGAACCCAGCACAAGTCATAATACCACTGTAAAAGTTAAACAATACATTTTCATCTGGGTTGTGTTCAGTAGGCATGAAAATGGGGAGTTGCTACAGTAACTTAAAGTCATGCTCCGGAACTTTGGTGATTACTAAATACAAATGTTTTACTTCCTGCTCTGGCCTGGATGTGTGAATTTGTACCTCAATACATGCATAATATATGAGCAGAATTACTGTCATACCTCAATTGGCCACGAAATCCCTCGTTTGAAAGTTAGCGATTTTCTGGAAGCTGTGCTGTGCCGTGCCATTTGCCATACATTTCCCCCCAATTGGGCCAGCCCCCTAGCAATTCAAGTTCAACCAATGAGCTTCAGCCCCTCTTCATATGAGTGACAGCTAGCAAGATGCACCCACAGCAGAGCGAGAGAGAGCAACATAGGGGGACCACTTTCGGCTCATAAGCGCTACTTTAAGAACTACTGAAGTATACAAAAGTACTGCAGAATCCGTTGAACTTGTCAAGTAAAAGCACTGCAATACCTCAGGGTCCTGATCATCATCCATGGATTCAGTTTCATCCTTGGACTCAACTTCATCCAAAGCTCCACCTTCCATTTCCAGGTCACAAGGTGGTTCTTCTTGACCACCCTGAGTCATCCCAGCAGTTGCCATGCAGAAACCCATTTGGACATCAGTGCAAGACGACACTACAAGAAAAACAAACATTTAGCACATACATTCTTTTTATCCCAATATAACTTTTCAGTTACTAGGCAACTATAAAATGTGTGTGTGTGTGTATATCATACCAGCTAGCACTTCCTGGTTTCCCTTCTCTAGTTCCTCCCAGTCGAAAGCTTTGCCCATCTCTGCCACAATCTCAGCACTGACATGAGTGGGAAGAGTGTGCGTCTCCGGGGGGTGTGTAAAGTAGCTGATCCTACCCCTACAAGACCGTAAATTAAACAGAACAATGGGACTTTATTAGGTAGGGACTGTGTTGCTTTGAAAACCTCAGACGTATTAAATGTTTTTACAGTTTGCACCTACCCTGTCCAGTCCATTAGGACACTCTTTGCCGCCTTGTCATTATCAGGCACTCCTCCCTTCCTCAACTTGCCCTGTCGCCGTGCCAACAAAGCCAGAAACTCTAGAGCTGTGTGGAAGTCTGGAACACCATAGTGTTCCATGATCTATGGAAAAACAAAATGAAAGAATATGACAACATGGACATAAAATCTGTCACTGCATTGCAGTGAATATGCCGTTAAATAATCTTTGGATACCTGTGTCTTATTGCAGCGTCTTAAGATGGCTTCGATTGGAGGTAGAGTGTCTACAAGCTGCTCAATCTTTACACAATTCCGAAGGATCATGGCCGCGTCAGTTGTCGAGGTTGCCATGACAATGCCAGGACAATCTAAAAGCTTGATGTGCTTGTCCAAGTGTATTTCCTGAAGGCACCTAAAAGCCATCATACAGGTCAGTCAAGCAAGGAAAGAACATGTAGGCCTAGACATAAATAAAGCCAAAAGCTTTGTACTTACTTGGTTACGCCAGGAGTGGCTCCAATATTGCATGCACGTGCCCGCTTCAAACTGTTTATCAGACTGCTCTTTCCAACATTGGGAAACCCTGAAAAAAAGAAAACCATCCAAAATATTTTATATCTTCAAAACTTTGCCCAGTTTAAACAGTTTGGAATTACATAAAAACATATGCTGAGGCGGCCATGATCCTGATTGAGCAGGAAGCCTAGTGGTTAGGAGCATTGGGCAAGTAAGTGAAAGGCTGCTGGTTTGAATCCCTGAGTCGACTAGGTGAAAAATCTGTCGATGTGCCATTGAGCAAGGCACTGAACCCTAATTGCTCCTATAAGTCACTCTGGATAACAGCGTCTGTTATATGACCAAAATGTGAATGTAAAATGTACCCACCAACCACACCAACAGTGATGGCTGTCTTAATGTCTAGGTTGCGGCAGTAGTTCCCCAATAGTTTCATGAGGCATTCCGCGCCCACACAGGCACTGCTACACAGGAGCTCAGCGGTGGCCTGGGTAACCGGTACATTGCTTCGCTTCTGCAAATGGAAAAACACATGCAAGTATAGCTACTAGATGCTAACTGAAAAAAGTGTATTCAGTTAGCATGTAGTACAGATGGCCTTATTGCTTAACAGTAAAACAGAAATATTGTATGGAACATGAATGGAAGAATGGATTTCAGTAAATGATGCTGTGCATGTTCTACATATGGCATTCTGAATTGTTTTACTCACCAAATTCTTGTTCTGTTGCTGCGTTGAGGCTTTGAAAGCCACAGTGGGAAATTCATTGCGAAGATACTTGATCCATTTCTCCACAATCTCCTTGGACACCAGGTCTAAGAGTACAGTGGAAAGACATGTCTGTCAGTTAAAGATAATCTGGCACCATGCTTTCTAATGTATAAACCATGCATATTAATGCATCTCTCTTACTCACTCACCAATCTTGTTAAGCACTAGGACTATTTTCTTGTCAGCGCCGCTTTGAATAACAGCCTGCTCCACCTGAGGACAACGGCAGCCAAGAGGGTCACGGGCATCCAGAACCTCCAGAATCACATCAGAGGCCTCAACCACCTTTCATACAGAACAGGGAATACAACACATTATTATCATAATTTACAAGACAATTCGACTTGATTAAAGAAAACATACCTTTTTGAATTCCCTGTAGTACGCCTTTCTTGAATTCTCATTTTCAAAATGGACATGCTTCTCTAAACTCCGCATCTCAGTTTCCTGCAATCAGAGAACAAAAAAACACTAATGACAAGCTCTCATTTAATGAGAAAAACAGCAATGGGAGAGCTGCTCTTTCTTGACAGACTATAATCTACACTAGTTAAATTACCCTCTGCTCAAACTCTCTTTGTCGCTGAAGAATATCTCTCTGAAAACTGTCCAGACTTCTCCTCTTCATCAGCTCCCGTTCTCTTGACAACCTCTGCTTTTCTTGGAGCTCCTGAAGCTGACCATGGCAAAGAGAGCAACACATTTTAAATACCTATAAATCAATTGCCAAACCAGAATTTCGCTATTGTCATGACAGAGATTAACAGTTGTAATAAAAATATATTTATATCATGGTTCACCCTTTTCTTCCGGACTTCTTCTGGTTTTCCATACTCTTTGAGATGTCGTGCAATGGACAGCTCTGAATTTCTTTTCCCTCCTTGAGCATCAGTCTGTTGTCCATCGTTGCCCTTCAATTGAAATTAAACTCAAATGAGATACGGCCAATGATGTTAACATAATAAAAGTAGCTAAACTATAGTTAGTTAAACTATAACTAGTTAGTTACAGTATACAAAATGTGTACAGTGAGTCTACTTCACACGGAGTCAAAAAAGTATTATTATATTGGACTGCAGAGACCCTTCTCAGTTCATTAGCTATGTTTTTGTTAAAAACCTGAGGTTTTCTGTAGCTATCAATGTTGTACAGTATACGGCAAAGTGAGATCAACTGGCTGGCAGTTTCGTGTCCAATGTGGTCACAACAGGTTAACTAGTCGCCGCAATTAGCAACTAGTGTATTGCTACTATACTTACCAGCGTCGCATGTAAAATTCAAATGGAATTTTATTCAACATTCTGGCTTGCAGTGCACTGTTCTAAAATATAATCTATTGAAAATTGTCCGACTGTGAATAACATGTTGCTAGCTAATTTATAACCTTACTAGCTAGCTAACTTTGAGTAGCAAGCAGGCCAGCTAAAAATACCTTTTGTTTTCCTCGGAAAAGTCTTTTCGCTCGCTTTTGTTCTGCAAAACCCACAACAAGAAAATAAGTTACACATCAACGAGCTACAATGTTAATTCAATGTTTAAAGGATCAACGTCATATGATATTAATTTAGCTACGCACTGCTGGCCTTCGACATGATTCCACATGTGGAGAAAGGTTGGTGATGGATTGCACGGATCTGACGTCAATTCACAATTTCCGGTTAATGCCCTTCAAAATAAAAGCTCAGCAAACCCAAGAGACGAGAAGCGCATGCAGCTGCAGATTATGCGCGCTGGAGGCTTCTTCTTCTTCGATGAGGTTTAACGGCGGTTGGCATCCAATTTGTTGCATTACCGCCACCTACTAGACTGGTGAACAACTCCCTTATATTTTGCTTGAAAAATAAAATAAAACAAAGAAATACCCTACCATCTAACACTACACTCACAAATTCAAAATTATTATTAATAATTAACACCACCCCACTCCACTATTTACATATATTCATTCCTACCTCATGCCCTCAACCTGAGATGATGGAACATCACCACTTAAATAATATAATAATATGCCATTTAGCAGACGCTTTTATCCAAAGCGACTTACAGTCATGCGTGCATACATTTTTTTGTGTATGGGTGGTCCCGGGGATCGAACCCACTACCTTGGCGTTACAAGCGCCGTGCTCTACCAGCTGAGCTACAGAGGACCACTTAACACTCCTTGTAACTCTTCTGATGTCAAGTCTCGCACACCCAAATACCTCTCTGCAGCTGCCACCACAACCTCAATTTTTTTCGACTTACGTTCCATCCCTGCAGTACAATTAATAACCATTGCTATAAATGCTGAAAATCCAATCTTACTGAAACATATCACTTGTTGTCCTATCCCTCTGTACTGGTACATCTCTACTACTCTCACCACTCCTCCCCCTTCCTCTACTTTCTTCATTGCCTCAGCATATGACAACTTGACAACTCAGTTGCCGGAGAGGAAGGAAACTGCTCATGGATTTCATTTGTGACTTTAAAACAGTTACAGAGTTTAATGACTGTGAAAACTGAGGATGGATCAACAACATTGTAGTCCTTCCACATTACTAACCTAAATGACAGAGTGAAAAGAAGAAGCCTGTACAGAATAACACATATTCCAAAACATGCATCCTGTTTGCAAAAAGGCACTAAAGTGAAACTGCAAAAAAATAGGTCAAAGAAATGAACTTTATGTCCTGAAAACAAAGTGTTAAGTTTGGGGCAAATCCAACACAACACATCACTGAGTATCACTCTTCATATTTTCAAGCATGGTGGTGGCTGTGGTTTGGGGCAAGGACTAGGGAGTTTTTTGGGATAAAAATAAACAGAATAGAGCTAAGCACAGGCAAAGTCCTAGAGAAAAACCTGGTTCAGTCTGCTTTCCAACAGACACTGGGAGGCAAATTCACCTTTCAGCAGGACAATAACCTAAAACACAAGGCCAAATATACACTGTAGTTGCTTACCAAGACGACATTGAATGTTCCTGAGTGGCCTAGTTACAGTTTTGACTTAAATCGGCTTGAAAATCCATGGCAGAACTTGAAAATGGCTGTCTAGCAATGATCAACAACCAACTTGACAGAGCTTGAAGAGTTTTAAAAGAATAATGTGCAAATATTGTACAATCCAGGTGTGCAAAGTTCTTAGAGACTTACCCAGAAAGACACAGCTGTAATCACTGCCAAAGGTGATTCTAACATGTATTGACCCAGGTATGTGAATAGTTATGCAAATTAGATATTTCTGTATTTCTAAAAACATGTTTTCACTTTGTCATTATGGGGTATTGTGTGTAGATGTGTGAGAAAAATCAATTTTGAATTCAGGCTGTAAAACAACAAAATGTGGAATAAATCAAGGGGTATGAATACTTTCTGTGTCTGGAGAAATTCTTCATCAAACGACAGTAAAACCTTCTTTCCTTCAGCTTTCCATCTACCAAGTGGTTCAAGCTATGTGCATCAGCTTCTCCTGGCATGTCCCAGGCTGGACCGAAACCACAGTATCTAAGGAGATGCTAGAGATTACAACTTTTGTCAGTACCCTACTCAGAAAATCATAGCACACCACGTCATACATCAATATTTTTGAGAGCCACAATGCACAATCCTTTTTCTCTTCTGACACACATGAAATGAACATCATACCACTCCTGGTCACTCTGACTGCCTCAACCTTTCCCCATGCATCCCTCACAATCTCTGTGACAGCCAACGGGTCTCCCAAAAAACATCCTTACTCATGAATTGCTCTCCAACAAGGAACGAGGCATTAATAGACAGAGGTTTATCTTCATTAACAACTTTAGCCCATTAGCTCCTTTCTTAAATGTCACAGTATTTCACTAATTTTCTAAAATTTCACTCAACGCACCACCAGATTTGAACAGTACTTCCGCTTCAGCCATCTTTCTTCTAGCCATGGTTGTCTCTCCATCAAAGCATCAAATGTATCACTCTATATAGTTGATCTAATTTAGTCTGAATGTTTTCTTCAACACAACAGCATAATGGAGGTGATGATTCAGCAAATTCATTATATTTACTGTAATCAATCAACAGACAATCATCACCAAAGAAGATGAAAACCTGTCAAGTTGATGAATGTTCTGAGTATATATCAGAAATTGGGATTAATATGATAATTCCAATTTAATGGGTGTGTTTGTAAATTCAGAGGGTGTTCAGTGTTCAGAGTGCACACTGGACGCTCTGGCCGAGGAGTAGGGTTGATCTGAGCATTCTGACCTCACAATGGCAGTCAAGCACCCAAACTAACTGGTTAAAATTGGTTAGCTTGCTAGCTACTTCCAGACACAAATGAGAGAACACCTCACTCTGACCATTTTACTCACCCTAGCAGAGCTGGTTAGGCTGTTTTCATGTTATCTAGAGCGTTGGTGACTGTAACTGTGCTGCTGGCAACAATTTAATTATGTTTTTTGCCGACGTTTACTGACACCGGTCATATTCAACTGGTGTTGGGCGTTCGTAAATTCAACAGTTATTCTTCGCTCTGGCACACTCAGACAAGAGTGCTCTGAAATCGGAGTAGATAGCCAGAGTGAATTTACAAACACACCCTATGTATCACACCAGCCTGGTCTCATAGACTAAACGTAACATAGTAAAGGTAAATCCGGTTGATCACCAACACACACACTGTACACCACAAGTCATGACCCTCACCCTCTCATCCACACATTTTAAATACTTTATTTGAATCCACAAATCACCTACAATCATGAAGGATTCAAGCATTTCAAGGGTCTTTGTATGCATGGACACCACAGGAGGTTGGTGGCACCTTAATTGGGGAGGATGGGCTCGTGGTAATGGCTGGAGCAGAATAGGTGGAATGGTATTAAAAACATATGGTTTCCATGTGTTTGATGCCATTCCATTCACTCCGTTCCAGCCATTATTACAGTATGAGCAGACCTCCCCTCAGAAGGCTCCACTGATGGACACTTAAGAATACAGAAAGCACTTTCTTCTCCAAGCAGCTAGGCTGCGCATAACAGCTGAAACAGAGAAGTACCTAGCCTATTGCTTTGCTTTCTGGAGGCCACATACTGTAAGCCTATCTCCATGGCCGAAACTGACAAATATCAGTGCTACTAACTTGCACCTATATCCAAGGCTGTCCAAGTGTGATACGAGGGGCTGGTATTTAAGTAGACTTCCAATCATTGCGCTAACGCTAGTTAGCATTGGCTCGCAAAACTACCGCTAACTTCCTTCATACTACACACAGAGACATACAATTTATATCCCAGAGTTAATCTGAATCTAGGTAAGTAGAACAAGACAGAATGCCAGAATCTCACATTTTCCCTTTAAGAAGCTTGTCAGCAAAAGTCTGCTTCATTTAACAGTCAAATGAGCAGCTCACTTCCAAAATGAACACACACACACACACTTGCTTATGGTAGTCCATCTTATCAGATGATGACCTTCCAATTCTGCCTCTATTTGTGAGTCTTTGTGAGACTCTTTGCAGACAGGGCATGTGAAGTCTCCGATTGGGGGTGTAGGTTCATTCCTGGCTTTCTTCTCCACAGCTCATTCCTCCTCAAGCTTTTGCACTCCTTGCTGGCAAAGCTGACACCAGATGGAGCGTTCAGAGGCAGTATCCTCCATCTGGGTAGGGTTAGGGCTGCACTTTTTCATTAGTTTGTCCTTGTAGTGCCTTTTCTGACCACCTGTAGAGCAGCGGCCCCAGGACCTTATGCGGCAGGCACTTCTTTGGCATCCTGATGTCGTGACCGAGCCAGCGGAGTTGGTGCTGGGTGATGGCAGTCTCCATACGGTTGCAGTTGGTTTTGCAGAGTATATCAGTGTGGGGCGTTCGGTCATGCCAAGTTATCCCCAGGATGCACTGGAGATACCTGAGCATCTTGAGCATCTTGATGTGGCGACTGTAGATGTTCCACGTCTCGCAGCTCTTGAGGAGAGTTGTGATGATCACTGCCTGGTAAAATTTTTGTCTGTATGTTGAGCATCGTCTTACGTCAGATAGCACGTTTATTCCGCCTGCACTGATCGGTTGAAGGAGGAGCGTCTGACGTAAGACAATTTAAGATTAGGTCATTGTTCTTTCAGATACACATGCATAGCTGCGGGAAGAGGTTTTGAATAGGGGGTGCTGAGATACTTTATAAAGTATTTCCAGGCTAACAATAAAATACAATTCCTAAAGTGATGATTAGCCTAAGCAAGGACAATTCGGTAACAGTAGTCACTGCAGCCTAAAGTCAATTGAAATACATTTGCCAGAATTATATAATTACTCTGTCTATACAGAAAGAAAGAAAATCATTAAAAATACTTCACCAGAGAGCATGACTTAGCCACGGTGTGATTGAGGATCATTATCTTGCTATGGATTGTTTCAAATCACAAGCGTGTAGGCCTATATGCCTAGTCGGGAAGCCCGCAACTTGGGCAGCGCACATTGTAATAGGTCTAGCTAATTATTGAGATGCGTCTGTCAGTGAAAAGCAATGCATCTAAAATATGTGAAGATAATGTGTCTTGAATATAATTTGAAATGTTGAGACACGAAGAAGGGGAAGGGTGTGTGGCAAAGGTATTGGCAGGTCTCTCTCCAGAATGCACTCAGCTCTCCAGAATGCGCTGAGCTGTCTCCCTCCAAATTCTTGCCCATTCATTGTTTTATTGTATTAATTGTTTGCCATTT